CGTTATCATTAACATCAAGAACATTTACCAGAATATTCATTTCGCTTGATTTCGGAGGTTTACCCCCATCCAGCGCCGTCAGTGATAATACATGGCTCCCTGCAGTTTCCCTGTCTAAGGATTTTTGAACAACTAAAATAGGTATTTTTCCATCATCTCCTTTATCCTTAATTTCCAATCGGAAGTGATCGTTGTTGCTAAGTTTATAGTGCTGCACGGAAAACTGTCCACTGTCTTGGTCACGTGCTGCTTTCAGCTGAAATCGTGTCCCGGGTAATACTGACTCTGAAATCTCAAGGGTTGTCTGGTTGTCTTGGAAGCTGGGTGAATGATCATTTATATCCAGCACTTCTACTCTAGCATAATGGACCTCCAGTGGGTTTTCTAGTACAGTTTTAACATTTATTACACACGCACTGCTCTGCGCACACACTTCCTCTCTGTCAATCTTTCTGCTCACATACAGACCACCATCGTTTGGATTCACATAGAACAGGGGATCCGCATTACTTGAAACAATCCGATACTTCCGGTCTTTCAACGTGTTTTTATCTAATCCCAGATCTCTTGCTATGTTTCCAACCACAGTTCCTTCGTTAACCTCCTCGGAGATCGAGTATCGCAACTGCGCTGATGCTACAGTCCACAAAAGCACAGCAAATACGCATCCGACCAGACATCCTCTCCTCATTTCCGACTGGCGTTTTCTTTGTTCCATGATGAAAACGAAAATTTTCAATAATCCATCACAATGACTATAAATCTTATGGAAATGCAAAAAAAGAAAAACCTCGTTCTTGCAAACACTCCTGTGATATTTGTACATGCAAAACCTGGTGTAAACCCAGAGAACAATCCGCAAAACGATGCTCCCCTTGTTGATGTGAAATAGCTAAGGGGTGGAACCAAAAAGCAGTAAGGACAAGTTTGTGGGTGGGAGGTTTTCTATATCGCACTGACACCATGCGAGTTTTATTCTCATTACAGAAAATTGGCTTCATATTGGATTATTAGAGCAGTATGATCGGTTTATGAAAAGCGAAGAAGAGATTTAGTGTCCATCAGAAGATTACAAATCCAACACAAATTAAAAAATATATAATCTCTTTATTTAACGCAGAACCAGCGAGTATTTTAAATTTGTATTGTTGTTATCTCACGAGTTAAGCAAATCGTGTCACTGCAGAATTACCTTGAAGCAAGGCACTTTTCAGCACCAAGGATAGTTATTTAGTTTGCAAATTGCTTTCACTGAGTGAGTCCCGCAGTTCAATAATTTCAGAATAACAAGGTATGTCCAATGAGACACTTTAAAATATCACAGCTGCTCTGATCGAGGTGAGGGAGATGAAAAGGATGCATTTTTGTATGACTAGTGATTAAAATGAAAAGTACAACTTAGGGGAAGAACGTTATATTTTAAGGTATGCCTTACCTCAGATGTTCTCCTCCTGTCAGGAAGCACGAGTGTATTCGCATGACTCCCAGGTACTATAGTAGATCCTATACTCATTCTGGGTCCAACTAGCATGTACCGCTTCTCTCCTGATCTGTACTGGATGCTGTGACACAGTGTCCCATCATAATTGGTCTCTGGCAAATATTTAGAAGTATAGTCTGTGGATTTGGAGCACTGCATTGCAATCAGCACTACGATGCTGACGAGAAAAAGTACAGAAACTGCGCCCAAAGTTATCATGAGGTAAAATATGACGTTACTGTCCTCATCATCTTTTGCTGCACTTTTAACATCAGAAGCTGCAAAAGCCTCTTTGGGCTCCACAAGTTTGACAATCACAGTAGCTGTTGCTGAGAGAGAAACGTTGCCGTTGTCTTTGACCAGTATGAGCAGTTTATGCTCAGCCTCGTCTGTCTCTGTGAATGAACGAAGTGTTCTGATCTGTCCTGTATAGCGGTCCAAAGAAAAGAGACTGTGGTCAGTCACTTCTTGCAGTGAAAAGAGCAACCAGCCGTTATATCCTATATCAGCGTCATAGGCTCTGACTTTAGTCACCAAGTGTCCTGCGTTGACGTTTCGGGGAATCTCCTCCACACCTTGAGCAGAACCGTTGGAGCTGAGTGGATACAGGATGACTGGAGCGTTGTCGTTCTGATCCAGGATGAAGACGTTGACTGTGACGTTGTTGCTTAGTGACGGAGTTCCAGAATCTGAGGCAACAACTTGGAACTGGAAAGTTTTCAGCGTTTCAAAGTCAAAACTTTTCAGCGCTAAAATCTCCCCATTATCCGAGTTTATATTTAGAAATGAACTGATTTTATTATCTTCACTTCCGTCTCTGATGATATGATAGGAAACGCGTGCACAGTCATTTTCATCACGATCAGAGGCTTTCACCGCAAATACGGAGGCTCCTGGACTGTTATTCTCTGTGATATAAAACGTGTAAGGACTTGTTGAAAACTCTGGACTGTTGTCGTTTACATCTGATATAACCACGCTTATAGTCTTTTCAGTTAAATGGGGAGGTTCACCTGAGTCCTTTGCAATAATCGTGACATCATATTGAGAAGTAATTTCTCTGTCTAACTGGGAGATGGTAACTATAGCGTACATATTTTCCTGTAATGATGGAGATAACGTAAACGGGACTCCTTGTTTGATTGCGCAAATGACCTTACCATTGATTCCAGAGTCTAAATCGGTGACACTAATGAGGGCCACTGTAGTTCCTATCTTTGAATCTTCCTTGATAGAACTAGAAAATGATGTCACTTCTATCTCAGGTGCATTGTCATTCACGTCAGCAACGGTTATCACGACACTCTTGCCAGTTTTTAATGGAACCTGTGCCTTATCAGATGCCTGAATATCAATTTCATAACTTGTACTTTTCTCGAAATCTAACTTACCCGTTACATGAATTTCGCCAGTGTTTGCATCTATACTAAAAATCTCCATTATTTTTGGATCGACTTCGTTACCGAATGAATATATTATTTCACCGTTTGCTCCCTGGTCCAAATCTGTTGCATTCACTTGAATGACGACAGTGCCAGTGGGGATGTTTTCTTTAAGTGTAGCAGAATACAGCTCTTTGGTGAACACTGGGGAATTGTCATTAATATCAAGTACATCCACAGTGATTTCTATATCGCCTGATTTCGCCGGTTTCCCTCCATCAACGGCTGTTAAACGTAACTTGTGCTTCTCGTTTGTTTCTCTGTCTAACTGCTTCTGCAGAACTAAGAATGGTATTTTCTGGTCTTTGCCACGGTCCTTTACTTCTACTCTAAAATATTCATTATGACTTAGTTTATATTGCTGAATTGCGAATTGGCCCACATCGGGGTCACGCGCGGCCTGTAGCTGAAATCTCGCTCCTGGTAGAGCCGACTCGGAAATTTCAAGCCTTTTCTCTTTCTCTGGAAAAACGGGAGAATGATCATTTATGTCTAGTATTTCCACTGCCACATAGTGAATCTCTAGTGGGTTTTCTAGCACGGTTTTTAGGTTGATGGTGCATGCACTGCTTCGTTCGCACACCTCTTCCCTGTCTATCCTTCTTTTCACATACAGGATGCCATCGTTTTGATTCACCTGGAACAGTGATTCCGTTGAGCCTGTTACAATGCGGTATCCTCTGCCTTTGAGTGCACTCTTATCAAGCCCCAAATCCTTAGCTATATTTCCCACGATGGTTCCATCTTGAACCTCCTCGGATATGGAATATCTGATCTGTGCAAAAGCTCCGCTACATAAAATAACCAAAACAATTATGAAGACGAACCAACACCGCCGGTCCTTCCGTGCTTTGCCTTCCCTTTGTTCCATGACAAAGATGACTGAAAATAGTCCATAAAATCCCTGCTTGCAAAGCCAGCCAGTGTCCGATGATCCTGTATGTTAACCAGGATCTGTTTTGGGGGAATGCTCTGAAAATAAAGCACACTCGTTGCCGTGAATCACGATCTTACCTTGAAATTTGCTATTTGAGAGAAAAATAGCATATCGGCTCGGTTGAAATACCACTCGTGACGTAAGGTACTGCCAAATACAGAGAACCACTGAACTACACTGACATCAAGCGTTAGGTTTTGTTATTTACACAGACTACATTTAAAAAAAAAAGAAAAAAATTAAAATCCCCCAGATGAGTTATATTCTCACGCTGACGTAAACAGGTCTTTATTGACCTATAGGACCGGATTTTGCACAAAGCCCAACTCTGGACACTCGAATACATTTGAAAATATACAAGTACAAAGTACTTGTATAAGTACAACACGTATACATTATGTGTTGTGCTTTACTGTAACTGTGTAGTTAGCATATACTAAGTAGAAAACATCAGCAAAAAATACCACACAAATAACCTTACCAAAAACCCACTAGTGGAAGAGGAAAACGGTTTTCAGTGTTTACTAATGCCCGACATTTGTGACACTAGTAACAAATCAGCACCATGGAGAGTGAACACAGAGTACTGGTAAAAGTATTACTCTTGTTAAATATAATAAAAATTAAACTAAAAACGCTTTAAATGAAATCAAATTCTCCCATATACC